CCATTTCTTTAAACCACATAATCTTCTTCCAAGCCTTTACAACCCTCATTCCCTATCCTTAGCATTTCAAATGGTAAGAAAAAAAGGTCGGCAAGAGAGTGAGACTACTTTATGGATATTCTTCTTGCTCCCTAGTGGATGTTCAGTTCCAAACACAGGATGATGAGGCAACCTATCACTACTAATGAGCTACCTATATTACACTCTCACATATTATAAACCAAGAAAATATGAACTATCAGGCAGTAGATCTCTTGTAGGAACCACACTCTAGTTCATTTTAATACTTACTTTTTAATTTCACTCAAAATTACTCTTTAAATTCTTTACGAATCTAAAAATTAATTTCGAACGCACCATTATGATATCCTATGTAGAAGGCCAATAGAAATTTCTTACGAAGGCTTTCATGAAATCCTACATCTTTTCACAACTGGCATTATTTGTAATATAAGAGACTATGATTAGACAATGGTAAACCTCAATATTATGAACACCTCAATTAGCCAACATTTACCTTCAGTGAGCTCCTTAGTTTAAAATGCCAATGTTATCTAGCATGTGCTTAGACTTTCAATTATTCTTAAGGATAGAAATTGAGTAAGCATCACCCCATTATTATATATTATTACCTATTTTTGTATAATTGACACTAAATTTGATGTAGCAAACATGATTATTGGATACATTGAACACCTAACTACCATTAGAAATTCAAGAGCCCGACATAGGAAATACCCTACACGAAGAAATATAATTGACTACATCTTAGATGCCAAATATAACCTCATCTTGCACAGGCTGGCCACCTCCTTATTTTCTACACAAATAGTTCATTCCATCTCCTTTTTAGTAATAAACACTACGGGCATAGCCTGTATAGGAGAAGCAAGATTTTGATGAGGCAGGGTGGATACCTTCGAGCACCAACATCAATGCTAACACTAGAACCAACACTAGCTTACTCATACTCACAATTTTATGATGCCCTTATAGAGTTCTTTGACTTACTAGAACCATGCTTTGAGACTCACATTTAGGAGTCTACCACTCACTTGGATCAGATATAGTTTCACTTAAAGAAGTAACAACAACAACATGAGTCTGATCCTGTATAGTTTGGAGAGCAGTTTACCTCACTTCACCTTTACTTCCAACCACCTCCATCACCATCTGATCAAGGACCTTTTTTATGAGTAGTGTATGATTTATGGTATAGTTTTTTTATAGTAGTTTGTTTGTCCTTTTATATATTTTTCTTTGTATTTGTGTTTCATCCACAGTTCTCCTTTTTGATGATGTCAAAAGGTGATTTTCATGTTGTTAGTCTTATATTATTAGTTTATTTAATCATTTATTTTCATTACTGCAGTGTGTGTTACTTTATTTACTATGCTTGTGTAATCATTATTATGTTATAATGAAAATAAAAATAATAAATAAAAATAAAATAGTAATAAAAAAAGAGTTTGACCTTGCTTTTAAAAAAATCACTTAGTAAGGGGAGATTATTGCATAAAAGGGGGAGATTTTTACAATATAGGAGCCCGAGTTTATATTTTAATGATATCAAATATTTTTTAATTGCATTTAGTTTTGCCTGTGCTGCTTTATTATTGCATATCATTTTTGTGTATATTAACATTTTAAATTCAACATACATAAAAAACTGTTAGATTCGACTACTCTGCCATATCGAGGAATGAGAAAGGGATTCAGCTACTCCATCATACCGGGGAAGGTGAAAGGGATTCAACTACTCCACTGCTTTAGAGAAGGTGAAAGGGATTTTGGTTCTCATCCACACCAAGGGTGGAAGTGATTCTTGGGAGGACTTCTCCGCCTTGCTATGAGGGCACTAAAGGGTTTTAGTGTAATACATGGAGAGGACTCCGGGAAGTGAATGTATGTCAAGTTAACCGAACCACTATAAAAATTCGAGTGTGCTTGTTTCTTTTATTTCACATTTTAATTTATGTATTTTACTTTATTGTGAATCTATGTTGAGCATTGATATTATTGTCATACATAAATATTGATATTATCTTGGATTTAGTTTTAGTTAGAAAAGAAAAAAAAATTGAAAAAGAAAAATAAAAATCTATTTGCTTACGTATTACAAAGCTGATTTTGAGTTTAAAGTGTGAATTTGATTTAAATTTTCAAAAGAATTTTTGAAAAAAAAAATTAAAACACCAAATCACTCCACTCCTGGTGTTCCTTTGTAATTCAAGTGGTTTAACAATCATAAATTGAACTTTCAACAAAGAACATAGAAGATAGAATGTAATAGAGGTAAATATGCAATTGGTGACCATGCACACACTCACAGAGGGAGTAAGGACAATCTAAGATAAAATTTCTTTTAACTAATTATACTTTATGACTTACAATCATACTATACAATTAATTATTCAAAAAATAGTCTTAACGACTAATTGAATCACTAATTGTATTGAACTAATTGTGCTGTACAATACCTATCATACTGTACAATTTATTTTGATATGTAATCCTAGTCACAAGATAAATTTAGTAAGAAATTCAAAAAATAATTTTTAAGCTAATCATACTATACGATCTAAATCTTACTATATGAAAATTTGAAATCTTACTTAAATTATCCCTCGTAATTAGTCAATCAAATCATGATTTAATTAAAAATAGCATATCATACTGTACAATCTTGATCATACCATATGGTTAACAAATATGAAATTTGGTCGCCCCAAATATCGTACCAAATGAAACCATGATTATTGAACTAATCGTACTGTATGATAATTAAATCATGTTGGACGACAAATTGGAAATCAACTAATTGTACTATATGATGAGAATAATATAGGATAATTGACATAGAAGATTTTCAATCATCCCACGGATTGTCCTGTATGAATACAAAGAAATTGAACAGATAGTACGGGACAACCTCACAATCTTTCTATATGATATGTTTGTAAAATTTGAACAGTTCATCTAAACGACGGTTTGTATCGTACTAGACAGGTCTAGTTTTTGAATTGTTCATACTATAAAAACTAATATCGTACTGTATGAACATAAACGGGACAACTTAAATTTTTAGGATTTTTTTTGTGACCAATACTTAAATAATACTTTAGTAATCTCTTGAAATTAGAGAGAGGTGTCTTTGGCTGAAGAAGGAACTCTAAGAGAGAAGCTTTTGAGAGAGATCTACGGTTTGAGAGGAAAGAGAAGGTGAGGTTGAGCGTGAGGGAGAAGTAGTGTGAGGGGATCACATGACTGCTCTATTCTAGCTAAGCGTTATTACTCCTCATGTGGCCTAGTGAGTCCTTGAAGTTTTCTCTTTAAAGAGAGTCTTCAAAATCAAGGCCTCGAGGTTCTCTGCCTTTTCTATGAGGGAGAAAAAGGAGCTAAGGTTCTCTGCCTTCTCCATGATGTAGAAAAAGGAGTTGGGTTCTCTGCCTTTACTAGGAGGGTGAAAAAGGAGCTGAGGTACTCTGCCTTCTCCAGGAGGGAGAAAAAAGATTGGAGGTTCACTGTAGTCACTAGTAGGGTGGCATAGCTTCCGGCACTCTGCCGCATCAAGTTTGGTGCAAGGAATTGTGTAAGGGCTTCTCCGCCTTGCTGTGGGGTCAAAATGAGAGTCACTTTGTTTTAGTGCAATAACTGGAGCAAATGACTCTAGGGAGTGGACGTAGGACAAGTTTGACCGAAACCACTATAAAATCTTTTGGTGTGCTTTTTTTCCTTTTTGCATTTATTTTCTTTCTATAGTTTTTATTATTATCTACGAGTTGAATTTGCTTATTTCAATATTTACGATCAATTGCACTTAGGTTGGATTGTGGCTTACAATAAGAAAATTCATGTGTTAAAAGAACAAAAAATATAATATCTCTTTTAAAATTATTAATTGCTTAAACACAATTTTAAGTTATCTACCTAGATTTAGTTTACAAATTTTTTTGTAGCAAAAAAAAAAAAAAAATAAATATTTTTGTTTAGTACTTAACTTTTAAATTACCAATTCACCCCTCTCTTGGTGCACCTCAGGCTAGCTCATTGAGGTCTCACAACCTCCTCAAACTTTCAACATCACATCTCTAAAATTTGGATTGAGACAGATTTATCTCTTTTGGTTAATCTGACTAATTCTAATTGTTGCATTAATGATGAACTCTACTATATTTTTAGGAACATCATGACCATTCTTGATTTTGTTGTCACCCACATTTATAGAGAAGGCAATATCTGTGTGGATTGGTTAGGTAAAAAGGGCGGTAATTTAACTGGCATTGAATTCTTTTGGAATTTCAATGGTATTCATGATTTGAAGGGTATGGTGTTTTTGGATAAGATGGGTCTTATTTGAGAAAGAAGTAATATCACATTTCTTTTTTGGGTTTTGGATTTTCTGGTTGTTTCCTGCATTCTATTTTCCTTCGTGTATTTTTATATGTGGATGTTGCTACTTGATTTAGTGATTGTGATGATTCATGGTTTGTCTGGTTATTTGTTTATCTGTGCATGTATGTTCTACTTCCTTGGTTCTGGGGCTCTTATTCTTGGTCAAGGCTACTGATCTAGTGATGTATGTTTTTCTAGACTGTGGGCCTGTTGTATTTGTTGTTTTGTTATGTTAGTTTTTTGCTATTCTAGTGGTTGGACTTCTTTGTTGGTTAACTTGTGCTGTGGTCTTTGATTTGCTAAGGGTTGTTCGTGTGCCTTTCCTTTGTTTGCTCAATTTTATGAATTTTGATAATTTTATATATGAGATGTTTGAGAGGCTAATTTTATGAATTTTGATAATTTTGAGTTATTTTGAAGTCTAAACTAGTATGAACTTTGAAAGGTAATAACTCAAGTGTATGATAACCTGAGGGATATCCATTAGGGATTTTCTTACTTGTTTTTATGGTAAAATTTAACTCACATAAAATTTATTAAATCCTTAGTTAGATCCAACTCGTAGCCAAACAAAGAGGGTTGTGTGTTCTACCAGACCCCTAAAACCCTCCGCCACTCTACCGCTCTACCGCTCTACCGCTCTACCGCTCTACCGCTCCACTGCTCCGCCGCTACCGAAGTTTGTATGTGTGCTTTCATGCTCGCCTCCCTGCAAGAGCTTCTCATCTCAAGTACGCATAGTTACAAGCTTTGATATCAATTCCCCCTCCTATACCATATTATTTTCTGGTCAGTTACGAGGAATCCGAAATGAACTTCAAGAACGCTCGGGTCCCGAATGCGGGGGCAGCGTCCGCGCTGGTAAAGGTCGCTTTGATCGGAGGCGCTGGCGTGTATGCTGCTCTCAACAGCCTCTACAATGTCGACGGTGGCCATCGGGCCATTGTCTTCAACCGCATCCAAGGAATCAAAGATAAGGTATAATTCGCCATTTTTAATCCATTTTTTATTTTTTGTAGCTTAGTAGTGGCTGCTGTTTCTTTTGGAGACTGAATTACTACGCACTCCAATGGTCAGTGGACAATATATGCTCATTGATCTATCCCTTCAATAAATTAACGCGAATATTAGTCTTGTTGGTCATGGAAGGAGTGATTTATTTGAGCTTTTGCTTAATGTTGGCTATTAATCGAGCTTACTCCTGTCCATGAAAACTTGAATTTACCCGCCAAATCACTCAAAATTGAGGATTTAGCTGTGAAGGATTGAATTATGAATAAGAATGTAGATCGAGTTTTACTTACTGGTTTTAGTAGAACTTACAAGTGATTCAGACATGAGATTCGTGGCATTTGATTTCTGCTTCCTGTTATTATTCAGGCTTTTGAGTCAGGCTTCCTGCTAAATCACTCAAAATTAGGGATTTAGTTGTGAAGGAGTGAGTTTATTAAGAAGAATGTAGAATGAGCCTTGCTCAATTGTTTTAGTAGAACTTAGAAGAGATTCAGACCTGGGACTCATGACAGTTGCTTTCTGCTTCCTATTTTTATCCAGGCTTTTGAGTCTAGCGGTTCATGCGTTAGAGGTTTGCAATTTAAGGATGTATAAATTAATGAGAGTAATCGCTGGAAAAGTGGTGAGTTACGTGACTGGGGATGTTGAATTTGCCCAGAGGAGCTGCATGGAGATTTCTCTTGCATCATCCGCTTTGCCAGATCAATGTATCTGCTATAGTAGGGATGTAGGAATTTTGTTGAATTGGAGCACTTTATTGGGTATCTATACAATAAGTTGGATAGAGATGTATATTTTAGATGTTGGTTTTTCAAGGTATATATTTTGTATTTTAGCATTTTCTGCATGCTTTCAAAAGGCCTAGAATTTGTTTACAATGAATTCTTATTATTAGTATTGCCTATTTTTTGCTGACGATGAATTCTTATCCAGGTTTATCCTGAGGGAACACATTTAATGATACCTTGGTTTGAGCGGCCAATCATATACGATGTCCGTGCTCGACCCCATCTTGTGGAGAGTACATCTGGAAGCCGTGATCTTCAGATGGTATGTCATGCATCCCTTTTTTGCAAAAAAGTAAAAAATATTGGTGATCTTTCTATTGCAGCAATTATGTATTTTCTCTTAATGGATGGCTATTAATGGCTAAAGCAGCTAAAATATGGTGTTGCATCTTCAAAGTGAAGCTGCTATCTTGCAATTGATCAATACGTGGACCTTTAATTCAAAGAGGTTTTAATATGAGAAATGTATATTAAAGTTTTTTGTTAGTACAAGCAGAAGCATGCATCTTACAGGACTATGTATACAAAAGAAGGAAACAAATAAAGAGGAAATTTTTATCTATTACTGGGTGAAACACATTTATGTGAGATGATCAAGTGTGATGGGCCATCAATTAATTTGTGATGCTTTAATATTTTTCATGCTTTCTTCTTGGATTATCTTTATATTTTAATTTTTGAAGTTTCTCCTATATAAAGGGGTACCATGGATGTAATGGAAGCTAATGGCGAATGGAATGAAAGCTGGGATGTTGGAGAAGGCATAAAGGCCTTAAACCAAAGGTTCAGCCACCTAGAAATTCTTGAGTGCTTTGAATCTACATTGTCCAATCATCAACCATTGTTGAACGGAAGTTCATGACTTAATCATCCGCCCCAAAAATAAAAGATAGTCTTAGAATAGGGGAAAGAATGGGCCTATATAGTTCTCAATGAATTGGTTTATTTGAAAAGCCTTTTAATGTGGTTTTATAACTTCTTAATGATTTCTTGTAGTTCTCGATATCTAACTTGACAACTTATAGTTAGTGGACAACTATAGGTTAGATCTTTAAATCTTGTTTTCTCTTTGTATCGCCTGGTGAAATTTTGGGTATGATTTCTATAAACACCTACGGATGCCTTGTAGTCAGAACATGTTTTGAAATAAACTTGAGTGTAAATCCAAATAGATATGCATTGTCAATACGTCCATCAATGGGGTATTTAGCATGATTAGATTTTGTTAATTTGAATCTTGTCAACTCTCTGTTTTTGTTTGTAGAGGTTCTTATTCATAATTTGCTTATTATTTATGTTTATTTAAATATTCATTGTATTGTAGTGGTGTCAACACTATCCTGTATGTAGAGGATTTGATCATTAAATTGCATTTACAACATACTTTGTAAGTAGGTTGCCTTAAGAGCTTGTATTTTTTAAGATGAATATTAGTTGTTAAAGGCCTTGAAGGCCTTATGCAAACATAAGATAAAATATCTTTGTGAAACTTATGATCGACATTTGATCATAAACTTATTTTGTTAACATTCTTCTTTTAATTAGTGTTTCAACAATTCATCAAGGGCCAAGTCCTGTGAACTCTTGTCTAGGGGATATGGAGGTTTGAGGGGATATGGAGGATCAAACATAAAATGAGATTTACAACCCTACCTTATAGGTGGCCTGCTTGAGAGTATGCATGTATGTCAATTTTGAATTTGAATCATGAAAATAAGACTTCAAAACATTTGAACGTTTCATGGAGTTGGAGAATTTAAATTCAGCTTATTCTCAATTTGTGTTGCATTCTTAGCATTTAAAATTGGGTGATTTGCACACATGTTGGAGCATATGTGGTGTGGAGCATCTTTATTATCTTGTGCGAGAGGAGCAACATATCGTCACATGTTTACTTTAGTTAGTTAGAGCCGTTCTCCACTACTATGGTTATTTTTAATTTTCGGCATAGGCTAACTGTGGCTGCTATTTTGGATAATTTGGTTGTTAGGGAAGTAGTATTTCAGCTACCATACGAGCTGTAGAGGGTAGTTTTTGGTTTTGAAGAAATTTCTCATCTATAAAAGAACAGTTCTTATCACTTTTTCTGCTATATGTTTGCATGTGTTCATCTTTTTGTTGGAATGCCTACATCAGATTTGGTATCAGAGCTAGATGGACAAAAACAGCAGGAGGGTGGCTCCCGGAATTGACATCAGCCTTGAAGCTCTTCGGATGGTACACAACAATCTGGAGCGGCGAATAGAGGAATTATCGACCAGTTTAAATCGGTTCTATAATGAGGTACGTCAAGAGATGTGGGAAATCAATGCTCGCCTGGACAGGATACAACCGAGCCGGACATCATTGCCGGCGATCACATCGGTGAATAGACGAGGGTTGGAAACGGATAGAATGTGGCATCGGGGATCGCAGATCATTGAGGCCTCGGATTCCGAAAAAGACCTCGATGAAGGACGAAACTATGATCTCTCAGACTCGGAAAAAGAAGTCCGTGCTCACTGTAGAAGATGTCTGAGAGACACAGGACGTCATCACAACGATTTTCGGGTTAAATTGGACTTACCTTTTTTCGATAGTAAGTTGCATATCGAAGACTTTGGATTGGGAGAGATCTGAGGAAAATTTCTTTGAATACATGGAAATTGAACCTAAAAAGCAAGTCAAGTATATTGCAAGTAGGCTTAAATCGGGAGCCAGTGCATGGCGGCAGTAGGTCCTCCAGACACGGAGGAGGAAAGGTCGGAACCCCGTGCGTAGTTGTCAGCTAATGAAGCAGCTGTACGTGGGCAGTACCTCCCGACCAACTATGAACAAATGCTGTATTTGCAGAATCAGCATTGTAACCAAGGAAATTGATACGTGAATGATTATACCGAGGAGTTCTATCGTCTAAGTGCCCAAAATGACTTTCACGAGTCGGCGAATCAACTGGTAGTATGATACATTGTTGGTTTAAAAGAAGCAATACAAGACAAATGAACAAATGCAACACAGTAAAGGGAACCATCAGAACAGTCGTACTACTCCAGAACAAGTAGTGAAAAATAGCAGGCAGTCATACTCAGCCCCTACAACCAGCAAGCATCCAGTTGCTAGCCCTATATCCACGGGACCGAGCAATGTTATGAATAAAGTCGCTGATATACGAGTTGGATAGAGAGGAAAAACCATCAATAGAGAGAATGCCTATGCTAAGCCTACGAATATTAAATGCTTTCAGTGTTTTCAACAGGGGCATAAATCAAATGAGTGCCCAACAAGTCCTCAAATACAATTATTGGATGCCGAGGAGGGAGAATTGGGAGAGCAAGAAGCCGATGATGAAAATTTGCAGGAGGATGTGGCAGCTAATAAGGGAGATCCACTTAATTGTATTTGGAAAAACTGGTGTTAGCTCCAAAACAGCCCAACACTTCTTAGTGGAATGCCTTATTCCGAACTAAGTGTACCATTGGGGGCAAGGAATGCGACCTCCTAATAGATAGTGGATGCATAGAGAATGTAGTTTCTCGTGCCATGGTACAGGCTCTACAACTCAAAAACAATCCGTACAAGATAAGTTGGGTTAAAAAGGGAGTGAAGTTGTCTGTAAATGAACTGTGCAAGGTGATATTTTCTATTGACAAAAATTATATCAGTGAGGTTTTGTGTGATGTTTTGGACATGAATATTTGTCATATTATCTTAGGGAGGCCATGGAAATACAGTGTTGGAGCTATGTATGACTGCCGAGCTAATACCTATGCCTTTGATTAGAAGGGGCGTAGGCTGCATTTGCTACCAATCAGCTCGGGTCCAGAAGCAAGTGTCCCAAAGAACCAAAGAGCCTTATTTGCTGTCTTAGCCTCTGCCTTGTTAAATGCCTGGAGGTAATCAAATAGCATAATGGCCTTGATTGTAAAGGATAGTGCTCCCAATACTTGTGATGCCAACAACCCCATTGCCATAAAGGCTCTCTTAGAGCAATTCCCGGATGTCTTCGCTAAAGTGTTACTCAAGGAATTGCCATCGATGAGGGCCATCCAACACCAAATCGAACTCACTTTTGGGGCTACCTTTCCCAATCTTCCACATTACAAGCTTAGTCCTAAAGAGAATAAAATTTTGCAGCAGATGGTGGACGAATTGTCAGAGAAATAGTTAATTCAACACAGTTTGAGTCCTTGTGCACTACCTGCATTATTGGTGCATGCCTACTGCCTAAGAAGGACGATAGTTGGAGGATGTGCATTAATAGTAGAGCCATCAATAAAATTACAGCTAAATTTAGATTTCCGATGCCTCGATTGGATGAAATGTTAGAAAGGTTGGCCGGCTCAAAAATATTCACTAAGCTGGTTCTGCGCAGTGGGTACCACCAGATTTGTATTCGGCCAAGAGATGAATGGAAAATTGTATTTAAAATGCTGGAAGGCCTATATGAATGGAAAGTAATGCCATTTGAGTTATGCAATGCTCCGTCGATGTTCATGAGGTTGATGAATGAAATCTTGAAACCATTTTTAAATCGATGCTGTGTAGCGTACTTTGATGACATTTTGCTTTATATTACTACATTGGAGGATCACTTAAAACATTTAACAAATATCTTAGAGACCTTGAGGAGGAACAAATTATATTTAAATAGATCCAAATGTGGGTTCGCTACACAACATATATCCTTTTTGGGTTTTAGAATTTTCGAATATGGGGTTAGCGCTGATCCGAATAAGGTAGCGACCATCAAAGATTGGTCGGTTCCTAAATCATTTATTGATATTCGAAGCTTTCATGGGTTAGCCAATTTTTATAGGAGATTCATTAAGGGGTTTAATCTCATCATGGCTCCCATTACTGATGTTTTAAAGCTAAAATAATTTGTATGGATAGAATGACAACTTTGCAGTTTTGAAGAGATCAAGGTGGCGTTAACTACTGCACCTGTCCTAGCACTGCCAGAGTTTGAGAAACCGTTTTCTGTTGAGACCGACGCCTCCACTGTGGGCATTGGAGCAGTGTTAACACAAAATAATTGACCAATTGAATTTTTCAGTGAGAAATTATGCCCAACTAGACAACGATGGTCGATATACTAGCAGGAGTTGTATGCAGTTGTTAAAGCGCTTCGACAATGGGAACAATATCTATTGCACTAGGATTTTATTCTTTGTAGTGATCACAAGGCTCTACAATATATTAATACGCAGAAGAATATAAATGGAATGCATGTTAGGTGGATCATATTTTTACAAACGTTCACATTTGTTCTCAAACGTAAAA